CGCCTCCTACCTAGCGCCTCCTGCGGTCTGTGTGCTGCGCCGGTCCGGACGCTTCCTCAGGAAACGAGTGGAGGCCTTAGTAGAAACGCGTGAACACGTCGCTAAGTGCTTCCCACTTCTAATCTCACGGCGCTACGTTATCTGTCCTGCACAGAGGAGGAAGTGCAGGGACCCAGGGGAATCTACTCTCCCTCCCAAACTCAGTGCATGATCCGCAGAGCCGAAGCTACAGCTCTGGCCCTTAGATCGTCGCTGTTATACCATCCTAGTAATTGCCTTCTGAGTCAGGCATTTTCGGAGGATACTGAGATCCAGGCGCCACCACCTAGCTACTTTAAGGAAGGAGGTACGAGGGAGGCCCAAGTGATGACCAGAGCCTGGCAGAAGTCCAAGGCGGGTGTTGGCAGGCTTTTTTTCTGTGAGGTCCACTTGGCATGTGCTAAATTGTGTGCTTCGATGTGTTAAGTAAATACGCGTGACCATGTGCAGTAAAAAACTTGTCCCTGAGGAGCTGCATGTTCCTGTCGTCCCAGCTACTGGAGAGAGAGAGAGGTTGGAGAGTGTGGATTGCTTGGAATGGGGAGCTAGAGACCAGATTGGACAACAAGGCTGTAAAAACAAACCTTTGAATACTGAAATTTATATTTGAAGTAAATTTCACATGTCACAACATGGTCTTTGTATTTGTTTTTTTTTCTATTTAAAAAGGCAAAAGTGTTTTGTTGAAAACCCCATACAAAAACTGGCTGGATTTGAGTCCTAAGTGTCAGATGTGTAAATTGTCCTTTACCAGGACTAGATACTGTCCAGGATTGTCTCAGGATTACACAGTGAATCTGTATTTGAGGCCAGATCTCACATGTTCTGTGCCAGAGTACTGCTCTTCCTACATTTGGGCTGGGACACAGGGACATGCAACATAGTGAGTCTGTAGGCAGCCTGAGTGAGTTATCTGAGACCCTGTCAAAAGTGGGTAAGGGGAGGAAGAGAGGAGAAAAGAGGAAATAAAACAACACTTGAAAGGAAGGAAAATAGGCTGTGGTGGCACAGACCTTTAATCCCAGCACTGGGAAGGCAGAGGCAGGCAAATCTCTGAGTTTGAGGCCAGCCTGGTTTACAGAGTGAGTTCTACACCAGCCACACCTATCCAGAAAAACCCTGTTTAAAAAAATAAATAAAATAAGAAAGAGAAGAAAATAGAAGGGAAGCCCTTTTTGAAAATAAAACAAGGAGAGTGGCCAGAGGAACTCGGTTTATCCTAAAGATAAGGTAGCCTGCTCCTTAGTAGACAGTCAGTATCTGCTTAATGAATTAAAACATTGACTAAGGAAGCAGCAAGCAGTAGGACAAAGTAGGAACGAACAGTGCTGCCCCAGATAGGACAAAGTGGAAAAAAACAAACTTGGAGATAGAAACAAAGGAGACTCTTGAACAACAAATAGATGAGTGTTGCTGGGAAGATAGACTGTATGCTATGTGAGAAGGTGAAGATTAAAGATTGAACTAGAGAGGTCTCCATGGTCAAGAGCACTAGCTGCTTTTCCAAAGGACTGGGATTTGACTCCCAGCCCACATGGCAGCTCACAACCATCTGTAACTCCAGTTATGGAGGATCTGATGCCCTCTTCTTGTCTCCACACATATACATATATATGCAGCCAAGACACTCATACACAAAAATAAAAATAAATAGCAAAAAAAAAAAAATTGGGGGGCTGGAGAGATCGCTCAGAGGTTAAGAGCACTGACTGCTCTTCCAGAGGTCCTGAGTTCGATTCCCAGCAACCACATGGTGGCTCACAACCATCTGTAATGAGATGTGATGCATGTAGACAACATATATGCAGGCAGAACACTATACAAAATAAATAAATAAATCTTTTTAAAAATTATTTTTTGAGACAGGGTTTCTCTGTATTGCTTTGAAGCCTGTCCTGGAACTCTGTAGACCAGTCTGGCCTCAGCTCACAGAGATCCACCAGATTCTGCCTCCCCAGTGCTGGGATTAAGGTGTGTACCACCACTGCCTGGCCAAAAATAGCAAATAGCAAATCATATGTGTGTGTGTGTGTGTGTGTGTGTGTGTGTGTGTGTGTGTTAAAGAAGAGCAAGAAAGATTGGAGAGATGACATAGTAGTTAAGAGCATTGGCTGAGCTTCCAGAGGACCCAGGTTCAATTTCCAGCACTCACATGGTAACTCATAACTCCAGTTCTGGGGATCTGATGGCCTTTTCTGTCTTTTGGGCACCAGGTGCACACATAATGTACAGACATACATGCAGGCAAAATACTCATACACATAAAATAAAATAAAGATAACTTAAAAAAAAAAAAAAAAGCAAGGGAGCCGGGGCGTTGGTGGCACACTTCTTTAATCCCAGCACTTGGGAGGTAGAGGCAGGCAGATCTCTAAGTTACAGGCCAGCCTGGTCTACAGATGGTCTAGCCAACAGCCATGGCTACACAGAGAAACCCTGTCTCATAAAAACCCAAGTGGGAAAAAAAGAAAATTAAAAAAAAGCACAGGCCTAAGAATTCAGGATAAGGAGTATTGCCTTAGCCAGGCATGTTGACATGCCTGTAATTCCAGCATTCAGATTACCAAACTAGAAGTATCAGTTGAGGCTAGTTTGGGCTGCATAGAGTTCAAGGGCAGTCTGAACTACCCAGTGAGATCCTGTTTCAAACAGCCAAGAGTTAGGCTACTGATGTAATTCAGTGATAGAGGCTTGCCTAGTGTCTTAATTACTGTTCTATTGCTTAAAAGACATCATGACTAAGGTAACTCTTACTGCATTTAATTGAGGGCTTGCTTGCTGTTTCAGAGGGTTATTTCATGATCATCTTGGCAGGGAGATGTAGCAGCAGGCAGGCAGGT